CTACTAATACTTTAAAATAATTGACTGGATAACACTTTTATAAGAGTGTTATCCAATTATACTATAATGTTATCTAGTTATGAGTAGATTATTAACTATTTACTTGTTTTATATTCTATAGCCTTTTTATTGCTTTATTATTATCCATTTGATTTTATTACTCTGTTCTTTTTTCATTATTTTCTAGCTATTCGTTTAATTTTAATACTTTATAGCTTTTTGTGACTAAAATACTAGGTCAAATTAATTGCAAAAATCATGTTATAATCGGATAACACAATTAATTTACTAATCAGTTTTTAACTAATTCTATGTTATATTTTTGATTTAATTTTTATAGCAGAATATCTTAGTTTTCTGTAATTAGATTTGAGCTCATATAGAAGAGTGTATTAAGAACTTTTTGATAGTGCTAAGATTGCATAAATTGAATATCTGAATGCTAAGTTATTTTATCTCAAAGATTTGAAAAAAAATATAGAATAATGCTGATCAAAATTAATAAAATTTTACTGTGTTTTACTGCACTAATTATGTGATTCAGTTCCTTACCAGTTTAAAAAACTTTTTCATTATTTTTAAATAAAGATAACGCTGCAACTAGTTGCAACCATATAATGTTTATTTGTCACTGATTATAACTAGTTACAACTTAATTTTTGTTAATATCACAATTAATTACAATTATATAATGCTTATTTATTACCAGTTGCAATTAGTTGTAACATTATCTTTACTTTTAAGTAATTTTCTTATTACTTTTGAGAAATATTTAGGGTTTAGTCTGGTGAATCAATTGGTTAGAAGTTTAAAAATGCTTATTAAATTGTCAGATAAAATACAAAGTGCTAAATTTGCAATTTATCTATTTGCTGAAGATGTATCATAATATATTCACTCACTTTTAATTATCAGTAAAACACAAAGTACTGATATTTTGCCATTCTTGCAATCCTATCTATGACTCTTTTGATTGCTGAGAATGAGGCATAAAGGATCAAATTAGTTTAAACTATATTACTTTCATACTTTATTTTCATATATTCTCCTGAACCTTTCTGCCTTTCTGATTTTTTTTTACCTATCAACAGTAATATTTTAATATATAATTTCTTTATTTCTTATATATAATTCTACTTTAAATTACTACTAAATTTATATCTTATTTTACGCTTTCACATTCATAAAACTCTTTATATAATTACTATTTCAGGATTCTTTGGATTATTACTGCATTGATTACCTTTGAATACTATCATATTGAAAAATAAAAAAAATTAAAATTAATAAATAATTTATAATAGTTTACAAAAAACACAATTGTAATTAATTAATTTTGAAAGACTATAACTCATTAATTATAAAATCATGATTTTATACTTGTTTTAAATCCTAATCTTAAAGAATATTCTAGTAAAATTTAATGTTTAATTAATAACACAAATTTATGTAACCTAATGATCTACTGTATATTAAAATTTATTATATAATAAAATTTGAGTATAGAAAATTTTTAAGCAGATTAATTACTATAAAATTGATATTAGATTCTAATTTTTTAATGTAATAATTTTAATTAAAAATTATTATACAATAAAGATTAGTTAATTATTATATAAAATTAATTTAAATAATTTATATAGTAATTAACTAATCTTTGCTACATAATAATTCTTAATCAGCTAGCCTGATTTTAATAAATTTTAGCTTATTTAAATACCATATTAAGTAAAATTGGAATCCAATATCAGTATTATAGTAGCATATCTAGTTAGAAATATTTCTATACTCAAACTTTATTATGTAAGAAATTTTAATATAAATCATTAAGTTATATAAAATATATATATAATCAGTATTATTAATTAAATATTAAATTTTACCAGAATATTTTTTAAAATTTAAGCTTAAAAACAAGTATAAGACTATAATTTTAGCATTTGTGATTAATAAGTTATAGTTTTTCAAAGTTAACCAATTATATATATAGGAGGATGATAAAAGTATTATACAGTGTTATTGTGAAATTCTTCAACTTGAAATGGTCATGTTATTAAGTTTCTACTCAAAATTTCTAACTGCAGTTTACTGTGATTAAGACGTTAAGATCTGCCTAATTCTTAACTTTATCAAATTTACATGTTGGACTTAAACAAATCTATCAAGTATGAAGACTTGAAAGATGAGATTATAAATAATTTAATTAAAGAATTCAGATGATAAACTCAATTATAAATAATGTGTAAGATCATATCAGACTATATGAAGGTATAAAGAGGCAGAAAGATATAAGTTTTAAATGATTCTTTTATTAATATTGAAACTCGTATTCACAAGAGAGTTAATTTACAATATAAGCAAAACGTCTATCTATTTATACAAAATTTCTTTTGTTAAGATTAATTAATTACTATACTATAAACTAACTAATTTAGAAAAATAAAATATAAGTAAAATAAATATATTGAGAATAATAAAAATACATAAAATAATAAAAATATAAAATATAATAAAAATAACAATAAAATTTAGAATATTAAAAATAAGTATAACACTAAATATTCTTAGACTTTAATTAATTCATAAAATTAGGATTATCATCAGTATTTAAAAGATTTTTAGAATTATATAGATCTTCTGTATTTTCAGAATTCACAGAATTCTCAGTATTTTCAGAATTCTGAATTAAGGGATCATTATACTGTATCATCTACGTGACTTTATTATAACTGGTCAATTACTCTGTTGATAACGGTCAAGAATTAGACAATTTTATAAATTTTTAATAAGTAACTAAGCTATATTTTTTAATACATATTAGCTAACTATTACTTAATGAAACATTTTGTTCATTATTTGGTTTAGAGTAATGCATAGTGTAAAATCTAATTTTAAAAAAATCTCTACTTTTCAATATTTCGTATTTTATATGTTCTCACTAAAGGATTAGCTTTTAGCTTTTTTTTATATTTTTACTAATTAATAAGCTGCAAGTATCTACATAAGGTCAGTCAATGACATGTTATAAAATTTATGATTTTTGAGTTACTGGATCCAATTGTTTTTGCTTTAATAATAACATTTTAGCCTTTTAACGAAAATATAATATAAAATGTTAAAAAATAAAAATTTTTTAAAATTTGATTTTAAGAATTGCAATATATTAAATTAAATAATTCATAAAAATATTTCATTAATGCAATAGATGTCCAAAATGATTCTAATAAAATATAGCTTAGTTATTAATGAAAATTTACTTAATATTTCATTTCTAATCGTACAATATTTTTGTCACTCCTGATATTTTTTTTTGTGAGCTATTGTATATAAAAATAATATTTTTAGCTGGCCAAACTTAAAATAAAATTTGGCTATCTTGGCTATAGTCAAATGGCCAAATGCCAATACTAAATTAAGGCATATTATAGTTACCATAACTTAATTAGCCAAAAAAAATAAAAGAACTCCTATTTACATTTAAGAATCTTTTCTTAATCTTGCTCTATTTTTGCATCGTCATGTTCGCAAGCATTGCCTACTACCTCCCCAAATCCTATTTAATAATTGACACTCTTCACCTTCATTATTAGTAATATATTATATTTTTAACTAGTAGCATATTGTACTCCTAGTAATCTACTAGAATTCTTCTAAATTTTTTGATTTTTATTTTCTAATTCACCTCTAATCAGTGATAAGATTTACGTCAGTAAATTACATTTGAATTGCTATACAATTTGAAATAATTTTCCTTAAATCTTCAAACATTAAATTGAATTAACATAAATATCACTATTAGCATAGATAGACTTCTTATGTTCTTATTAAAATAACTTCATTTATATCAAAAAAAACATTTTCTATTCTGTATGTATACTCTGATAAGTCTTTGTTGTAAAGCAGATTGACTATGAGACTGAAGCATAACAAATTATGAATAAATAAAATTCAATATCATTAATTAAAGCATTAAAATAAAAACTACTATATATAATATATTATAAACAGATTATATTTATTATAATAACCATTCTTTACTAAAGTTATAATGATGTCAATTGATAAGAGTACATTTATTGAAAGTTCTAATTATTCTGTTTAGATTGACACTGTATCTAGTCATTACTTTATTAATTATATCATTATATTTATTCATAAATCCTTAATATATTCATTTACTCTACTATTTATGACCAACCTCTCCTCAAAAAATTACATAAATTTCTTGTCAAAATTATTTTAATAACCATGTATAAGACCATTTTTACCAATCAGCTTCAAATTTTAACTATTCTTGTTTAGTAAAAGATGATTTAATTGGATTACACTCATTTTCTTCTGAAAGAAATATAATTTTATATTGAGTAATTTTATTAATTTCTCAAAGCCTTTTAACAATCAGACTCTATAATAAGAAATAAGTTTATTCAGCAACGAACTTATTAATTAAGAAGATATGTATAAAAATAATCAGACCTCTAATCATATCACTTTATCGTCATCTTTCTTGATGTTTATCATTACTTTTCAAAAAGTCAACTGATAACTAATATAATTTATATAACTATTGTTAATTTCAAGTTGAATTTCAAAAAATAAATTATACTCTGACCTTTTTTGTTTTTGAAGTCACCAATTCTTTATTATTGTAACCTCTTTTTTATCTAATATTACTAATTTGTATACCTTCACATGAGACTAACTGTATAATATTAGTTCTAGTATTTATATTATTTTCTTAAAGAACTTCCTTATTTTCAACAGAAAGCTATAATTTATCGAGATTGTTTCCTTTCTTTTTCTAGTTATAATTCTGAAGATTAAGAGGAGAAAAATATTATTAGTTCAACCTAATAAGTATTTTCTGCATGTTAAGAATAATCAGTGCTAAAAACTATAATAATCTAAAAGATCTGTCAGAGGATCAGCTAAAAGCATTATACCTTCTAGTTATGGATGTTAAAACTACAATGCAATCTAAAAGATCATTAGAAGAATAACTAAAAGTTATGTTTTTCTTGTTGTGAACAACCACAATTATCTAAAAGATTATTGCAAAGGACATTTTCCATATAAGGACAAATATTCACATTTAGAAGATTTTTAGCTTTCTGAATTTTTGCAGAATTTGAACTTTTATTAGCAATCTTACGAAGGCTCTTTACAAGTGTATTCACAGCTTTACTATAGGTAAGGTTTTTATTATTCTCTTTATATATATGAATCCAATCCCTGTGGAATTTATAAATAGTTTAGGTTCTAGTCTCATTTTCATCAAAATACTTATACTAGGCCATTGTGTGAAAGAAAAGAAAAGTAGAAAATCCTATTAGAGGTAAAATGCATCATGTCTTTTTATTTGTACTATTGTATTATCATATGTAATATGTCTGAAATATGTGATAGGTATACTGATAATAAATACTTTTTTGAAAAATGATTAGCACATGTGTTACAGACAATTTTTTAAACTTATATTTAAACTTCAAACTTATGTATTTTTGTCTACTCTTTAAGTTTACTTAAAGTGCTAACTAGAAGTTTAGGCTAAAAAATTTGACAAATGCGATTTTTTAAAAAATGCATTACATACTTTAAACAATATATTCAGTGTAACCTATTCACATTTCAGACATGCATTTTAGTATTTTCTGATACTTGTATATGTATATACTATATCAATCACTAGTTATTTTCAGTATAGTGTCAATTACTAATTAAAATTTTTGTATTATATAAATTGGCCTATCTTCATTAGATTCAAATACAATAAAGACTTTAATAAAATACAACTTTTTTTATAATATACTAAAAATAATATAAATAAATTTTAAATAGCACTAATTTTATTATATCTTACTTCCTTAAATAATTCGATATATAAGGCTTTTTTATAATTTTTTGAACTTTAAACTGAGATCCTTCTGCTAATACTAGTTCTTTTTTAAAGTTATTTACATGAGAAGTTAACCATTAATATAGATATATTATTATTAAATTTGTTTTGAAGTTTATATGTATGTTGTTAAAAAGAATCAAAAAGATGATTTTTTTTATTATAAGCATCAAATTTAAATAAGTATTAAGATAGTTTACCAAAATATTGTAACCTTTTTTTACATAATTTACATTTTATTTTAGAGGCTTGCTATTAATCACCAATGGTAATTATCACCAATATCACGTGATATTTTTAATTCAGGCTGAAATTGTAGAAATTATAAACAGGAATATCGATCATTTTCATTTTAACGATAACCATTCCACAAAAAATCATTTTTTAAAAATCACAAAAAATACCTATATGATGAATAAGTGTAACAAATAAGATTTTTCATAGTAAAAAATTCTAAGTTTAAAAAATACATAGTAAATTAAATCATAGAGGGGTATGATACTAGTGATAATTAAATGTTACGTAATACTAGTAATGATACCACCAGTGATTTATAGCAAAATTTTTTATTTTATTTAAAAACTAAAAATCTTGAATAAAAATATATTTCTTAAGACTAAACTTATTTGTACAGTTTACGTAGTTCCTATTTACCTAAAAAGTTATAATATGTTAACAAAAAAAGTGATCAACTTTACAGAGAGATCCTTTTAACTTCTCATTAATAAATAGCAAAAAAAATTTGTCTTAGAATGTTCGTCTTAACTTAAAGATTAAAAAAAAAAAATTGATAAAATTTATTGGTAAAAAATTAAGGATTACATATGATAAAAAAACTGAAAATTTCAGTTTTTACTAATTAATTATAATAAAAAAAGTGATTAATAAGCTGCATATTTAATTAGTAAATTCATTTGATCTCCTGATTTTGAAATTGACCAGTGACTAATATACATATTACCGTATAGTGCTGATATTAGTATCCCTTTACAAAATATTCCCTCTTGAATAGTAACAGATACTATTTAATCAATTTTTAATTAATATCATAATGATATCAATCAATCTGACCAATTGTAATATATTAAATATAAAACAAAATTTATTATTATATTTTATACTTTAATCAATATTAAATGTTATAGTTTATTAAGTATACATAATTATTATTTAATTTTATTCATTATCATAATCTCCTTTCTCATAATGATTATTATTAATATTATTACTTCTATCATATCATCTAAAATTTTTACTTCATCATTTATTCAAGATATTCATAATTAAAATCCAATCATCTTCTGTTTCATCATGTTTATTAGAAATGCTATAGCATTTAAAAGATATTTGGATCAACTATATTTCATGATCTATTAATCTAATCTACAACAATTTTATAAGATAGTCTTTTGATTATATTAGCAGGGTTAATTCTTTTGAAGATTCAGACATCTATTCATTATATTTATTTCTCATCTATAAAAAATAAATTTATAAATATAATTAGAATTAAATATAAAAATAAAATAAATAAAATAAAATAAATATTTAATAAATTAATAAATCTTACTTTTGATTTAAATAATTTATTAATTGAAATATTTAAAGGTTATAGTTGAAATATTAATCATTCAGAAATAATAGCAATATTAGTATTTTTTCTTCAAAATACCTTTTAACAGAATTAACAATATATGTTAAAAATGAATCTAAAACTAATAATGATTGTAAATTAGAAAATCTTTTAATATATTTAATTCAAATATTTTCAATCCAATATGATATTTTATTTTTATTCATTCATCCAGTTGGATTAATACAAATAATTATTTCTTATGAAAAATTTCCTTTTAAAATTTTTTTAAGTTTAAAAATATATAAGAAAAAGTTTAATTTCATTTGTTATACAGGTTAAAACTACTGTAAAATTAGTTTTTTCATGATCTGTTATACAAATACTAATAGTTTTTACTCTCATTTCATTAACAATAGTATTATTCAATAAATTAAATATTACAGTAGCGATCATAAGTATCCAACCGCCTGAGATCATTTAAAATTATTATATAACTACCCCTTAAATTTTCTAAAAATATAATGTAACACAATATATAATCACTTGTAAATTGATAAGTGTCAATGATACAAAAAAAAAATTTAGATGATCATCAAACTTTTGCTTGAAAAATGGACTTTCTTTAGAGAAACAATATGAAATTGTCTTTTTACATAAGCATCCAACTGGTCTAAAGTTTAGTTTTGGATTTATTGCTAAATAGGTATATTATAGTAAGTCTACAGCTATTTATTGGGTTAAAAGATATCATGAAAATTGAGACCTAAGTACTTTAGAAAGACTGGAATAGTCTTGTGTAATATCTGTGAAAAAGATGACAAGATTGTAAAGATAGCAGAAAAAGAACATAATATAACAGCCATTCAAATACAAGAAAAAATGGAAGAAAGAGGTGTTGGGCTTAATGTAGAAACAGTAAGGCGATATCTTCGTAAGTCTGGAGAAAAGTTTAATAATGAAATTTTTAAACCTTTGCTTAAAAAAGACCATCAAAAGAAAAGGTTGCAATGGGCAAAAAACATAAGAATTTTGATTGGAATCAAGTTGTTTTTACAGATGAGAGTACATTTCAATTATATATATCAAAAAAAAGGTTTAGCAATTTTCTAGTAGAAAAAAAGTGTTTCGTTCTGTTAAGCATCTATCAAAAGTTCATGTTTAGGGATGTTTTTCTGCTTCTGGATTTGGTAAGCTATTTTGCTTTTAGAGGAACTTTAATGCTTAATTTATGTATACTATATATGAGCAGGGTCTTCTGGCTTTCACCTTTAAACTTTTTGGTAAAAGTAACATAGATTGGATCTTACAAGAAGATAATGATCCAAAGCATTAATCGAAAATCGTGAAAAAATAGAAGGAAGAAATGGCATTGAGATATTTTCTTGACCATCAATGTCTCCAGACTAAAACCCTATAGAAAACGTTTGGAGATTAATGAAAATTAATATACAAAAAAAAATTTTAATTAATTAGAGGATTAAAGGGGGAACTTACAAAAGAATGGAACTGATTATCACCTGTACTTACTGTGTATTTGGTAGCTAGTATGAAAAGGCGTATAGCTGCACTTATAGAGTCAGATGGTAACTACACAATGTATTAATTTTAGTTAGTTAGTTATGTATTTTTTAAATAAAAAAAAATTTTTGAATTTACTTGTAGCTGAAGTTAAAGGCAGTCAGATACTTATGACCACTATTGTATATGTGATAATAAGATCTAAATCATATAGTTTTAGATTTTTTTCCTTCTTTTGATAGTGAAACTATCCATAATGATGAAGTTGTTGAAACTATCTATAACTGTCTGACTATTTAGAAAGACTGAAATCTGTAACCTAGAAGGATAAACAATGATGATAGTGAGTAATGCAATGAGTTCAACTTTTATTCATAATGGTGAATTTGTGATAATTGCTTGAAAAGTATTGAAATTGTAAGCTGAAGATTCTAGATTGATACATCTTATACCTATTCTCAATTACTCAATAATGGATTAGTTAGTGATTCATCAGTATAAAAGTGAAGTAGTGTGAAATTGGATAATGATTCGTTAATTGAAATTAGTTGATTTTGATAGAAAAAAAAACTCTTTCCTACTCCTCTCAAAACACTATGGGAAAAATAACTCAAAATAAAAAATTTAATAACAATCCAAAAGGTACTCGCAACATTCACAATCAACCTGACTCGCCCATTCACAATAAATCCTCAAAACCCCCACAAAAGAAAGCTGTTACCATTCTAAACCGTCCTGGTTCAACTGCTCCTGAAAATATTGAAAACTCAAACGTCGCCTCTGATTCAAAAGAAAATATGGAAGTCGACCCACTACCTGTCACCTCACCCGATAACATCACTAAGGTTGTCACCCCCAAAGATAAAAATGACATAAAAGAAGATCAAGCTCACAACCCCTCTGAAAACTTACTCAGTAAAAATAACTCTTCCGCTAACGTACTCTCCTTTAATCATATTCGCGATGCTTCGTCATTCTACATTTGTTGCACTGCAAAAACTTTCCTTTCTAGAAGATCAAATAAGGAAAAAATAAACTGTGCTTGTGAGATGTTCAATGGTATTGAATTTACATCGTTTATTGGTGCAGCAGTAAAGCAAGACCCTGTCAACAAAACGCTAAAAATTGTCCGATTTGGATTTTTCACGAGTTTAGATGCAGACAAAGCACTCCATGCTAAGTTTCCAGATATGGCAGAGTTAAAATTAAAACCCCTTGATCGCTCTACCCAATTCAGGTTTAACCCAGAACTAGCGATCAAGGTAACTGAGATCCCTATTTCAACATCTGAGCACGTAATCAGATCGACATTTTCCAAATATGGGAATATTCTAAGATGTTCCATGATTACTAAAAATTTATGGCAACAAGCTACCATATCCTATGCTGAAAGCACTGATTTGACCGTATTCAATAATACCAAAGGACAATTTATTCTTAAGGATCTTGTTCGTGTACACCCTTGTACGGCCACCATTGATGAAATTAAACTTTGATCTAAATTTACCCTCAAACTCACTAATCTACCTAAAGATACTTCTGGTCGAGAATTAGAACCCATTGCTAAAGCGGTCAATACAATGACTTGGGTGATTCTGAAAGCCCGTTCAAATTATCGAAATCTCTAATATGCCTTCGTTCACTTCGAATCTGAGCAAGACCTATTTGTTACGGTAAACGGAGATCAAATAGTTTTAGATGACAAGAGATTTATATGGACACAACCAGACACAAAATTATGTGCATATTATGCTGCATTTGGACATGACTCTCGTTCATGTCGAAAGAAACGTACTGCGCCTCAAGATCGTCAAACACAAAATTTATATCAAAGATTTAAACCAGCCTAATTCAAGAACTACTCCGTTCCTTTTAAACCAATCAGACCCATTTTCGTTAAAGATAATGAACACGTGTTTGATCCAAAAAAACCCCAATCATTTGCCAATAAAATCCGTCTTATTAAACCTCAGCTGACAAACCTCCGGTCATTCCTACACACTCAAAACCTCCAGTTCGTCATACCAACCCTCATACTATATCATTAGACAATTCAATTCACGCTAATAAATTCTGGTCTGATCAAGTTGAAGACAACTACTTACTACCAAACCAGCAATTAGACAATCAGACTAGTAGAGAACTGTCTGACGCTAAAAAGATCATGCTTAAACTAGATGCTCTCATTAACACTCTTGCTAAGATACATCAAGATCTTACCTTTACAGTTCATCGTTTTGACACTGTGGAGTGACACCTTATCATCTTTACCATCACCTCAGAAAAAGCTGCGGAATTAAACACCATCAACAAAGGCAAAGGCAAAGCAGACATAGAAACTGATGAAT